TGAGACTGTCACTCTCAGAATCCTGAGACTGGAAATTAATAGAAGTCGTCCAGCTTATCCCATTTTTAACTCAAAGATGTAGTTGCTATGAAAGTTGGCCGAATCATTATTGTTGTCAATAAACATCAAATAAGGGGGAGTTTGTCTTATTTCTGGAAGTTTTATGCCCATTTCATGCATAGTCCCAAATATTACTGACTGAATAAGATGCACCTAATCTAGCTCCATCACGCAGTATAACATGTCAGCAAGACTTTCTGAAACCCCTCCACCATGTTATGGTGGTGCTTTTGAAATCAGTCCAAAACTAAAACTGTGTAAATAGTTTCTGTGAAAAAGGTGGCAGAATACTATTTGTAAAGCAACATGAAAATGAAAATCACAAGGATTATATGCGGGATGCTTTGGCTGAAAGAGTGAAGTGATTTGACTCTTAAGTGTTTTTTTTTAATGACAATTAGAATGATATACCCACTTTTGAGGGTTTTCTGATGCTGTCTGTAATATAGCGTATCTCTGGTTTGAGTCAGATTACTTTAGTATAAGAAGTAGTTCATAGGCAACTCCTATTCCTGCATAATAAGCTTAAACCATGACACCTCCGCTACCATGCCAAACAGATAGCAATAGAGTTATACCCATCCTGAACTAGGAAGCTTTCAAAAGTACATTTTCAAAGTTAAGGGCGGATATTTTTCCTCCTCCATAAAACTTCCAAAACTTCTACTTGTATTTAGATGGTCAATCAATTGTTGCATTTGTTTTAATTTACTTTGATGCTTGATCAATGTTAGATTATATAAAAGCACTTAGTCTTTCTCACAATCTTCTTGCTGGTCTTAAAAACCCTTTTTTCTTGCTATGACTGTTAGTCTACATTTAATGTCTGCAAATGCTGCAAATGGTAAAGATCAAATTAAAATCCCTATTTTATTCGGAAAGTTTGAAAGTGATTCCAACTTAAGGCCATTACAACCAAAGCACTTATAGGATTCCGGTTCCATCGCATTAGAATAATGACGTTTACATAATGACACATGTCTAAACATGCTACTCAAGACAGTATAGATTTTCTTTTGCATCTTAGTGCATTTGTTTTGATCCCCTTATTGATCGACTAGATGTAGATATTTTAGGAACATGTAAGTCTATAAAAGGAGTGGTCTATAAGACTGGAAGGCCAAAACAGGGGAAAAGTGATTAAAGCTTTACGTTGAATAACAACAGAAAAGTTTCCTTTTCATCTTCACAATGTTAAAGAATTACATGGGAAGAGAAGCTCACCCTGCATTAAAATACAATCAAGGATGCCTTTCTGTCTTCGGTCTATCAGGGATATTATTATTTAAACCACAGGTTTATGTCTGCCATCTAACAGTGTGTATATAGGTAGTTTTCTAGAAGATAGGAATAATTTCTATGTGCATGTCATTGTCTGTTGCATTTAAGGAAAGATGACCTCAACACCTGCCACACATACCCATACAAACATGACTCCCTGCCCTACTCACACAGTTGGCTCCTTAGTTTGTAGTTTTACTATCCATGTTGGACAGAGACGGTTCTTATGCTCCTTTTTTTTTATCTAAAGGATTTCTCTTGTTAATGAGATATTTTGGAGAAATTGAGCGTCTGACATCACTTCACACACAAGACACACACTTTCAGAGAGATGTAGACGTACCACTTAAAACAACCCAGACATCAGGGTAATATAGATCTGCACTTCAAGCAGCTTTATTCTTGTTTGCTAAAGTTATTTCAGAGAATAGCCTCCCCAATTATCATAAACTGTAGATTTTCTGTAAATAAGAATAAGAATGAGAATGTAAATATCGACATTTGTGTGCTGCATCTCTCTGAATCTTCTTGTGCTGGTATAAGTCTTATACAGTATAGAAAGAGCATACTGTTTCAGCTCTACTAGTTTCAGCTGCTCCTGCTGTGAATCATTCAGGCATTTTCTATGCACACACTTTTTTGTGTGTGTTTACCACAATTATACATGTTTTCTTGAGTTTACTGGAAAGAGAAAAAACAGAGGGAAAATGCATGCTCCTGCTGCAAAGCACATCCAAGCACTGTTTGGATGGAGGGAACAAGCAGTAATGGGGCAATTCATTCACCAAATGACACTAAGCAATTTCACATGATGTGGGAGGCTACAAACTGGATTAAGCAGCTGTAATTTCCAGAAACTATTCAGGCGTGAAATGTGATATGGTCAGTTAAGAGAGCTGGGTGTACTGGTAGTGTTTGACGCTGATAAAAGTAAATGTGGGCAATATGTGATTGGTCAGGTTTAATTTGACCCTCCATTGGGATTCGCTCACTGGAAGTCCCATGAGCCAGACTGTTTTCTGTTATTCATTTTAAGCATCAATGCTTTGCAAAAGTAATTATAGACTTTGATTTTTCACTCATTTAAAAAAAAAATTAAATTACCGGTATTTATATTTTACTCTATAATCATGGAGCATAATCACTCTTTTTTTCCTTGTTTTAATTGACACTGTTTTTAGTTCTGGCAAATTTAGTGTTGATAATGTGGGTCTGCACCAAACACCAAATGAAGAGCTTTATTTTCCAAAGGAAGAAAATTGACACTGCTAATGGTTTATTAGCTCATTTCTATCTAATTTTAAGAAAACTATGTTATTTTGATGTAATCAAAAAAAAAAAAGAAAAAATAATCCAAAGGATGACGCCTATGTCACAAAACCAAGATAAGGGATTAGGTCAAGATTCTTGTGAAATCCTGACATAAAAAATCTGTTTCACATAAACAGGAACATATACTGTAAGTAGCCATTGTATTTTTTTCTTTGCTATCCTGCCCCCATCAGACTAAAAGCCAGGCTTACCTAAACCTGGCACGGTGTCTGCTCAGTCAGTTTCACACCAATCAGAAACCAATGAGTTTTGACCGACACTCATATATACTGTCATAAAGTCAAGTACTTCAATCATTTCAATCTCCGTTTCTTTCTGTATCTCTTCTTCTGTCTCCTTGAACCCCAGTCGGCCTCAGCAGATGGCTGCTCACACTGAGCCTGGTTCTGCTGGAGGTTTCTTCCTGTTAAAGGGGAGTTTTTCCTCTCCACTGTCGCTACATGTATGTTTGGTGTGAGGGATTGCCTTCGAGTCAATGAGTTGAAGTCAACTGGTTTTCCTTAGATAGAAAACGTTGAATCAGATTAACTATATTATCTGGTTGAATTGTCTCTGTCATGAGCCTTGAGATGACATATGTTGTGAATTGGTGCTATATAAATAAACTGAATTGAAATTGAAGGGATTAGAGAAAATGCCGTATCTGAATTGCTCCCAGCAATTACCTGCATGAGCATTAACACCTTTCTGGAGATGACATCCACTATCTGTGTAGACTTCTTGTTCCCAAAATTCAGCACAGCACAGATCACTGATTTTCTGCTAGTGGTACGTTCCTGCTTGCCGAAGGAAATACTGAAAATCTTAGCAAAGCCACTATTTGCCGCAATGATGTGTATTTGGTATTAAAAGGATATACGCACATCTTCATCTCCTACCCAGGATGTAGAAGAATGATGTAAATTATGGAGGGATTCTACAACATTGTACCTAACATGAATTATGCTACACATTACAAACAAAGCTTTAGAAGAAATGGACTACTTGCTCATTTTTTTTAAACACAGGATTCCATAATATTATCTGTGTCCTGGACCGCACACAGATCAAGATACAACACCTTTTCAAGCACATGAAGGGGATTTTGCTAACAGCAAATCCAAACAGGTTATAGGTGGGTAATGATTAGGCCTGTCAAATACAAAAATGTATTACATGCATTAAATCATCCAAAACATCTTATTGTTTCCAAACATGTGTGGAAACAATAAGAATAAGAATTCATACCAGATTTTCAGCTGTTATGATAACAGAATGTTGTAACCATAAAAAAAAAAGGTTAAATCATGTACACATTTCTTTATAAAGGTCTTAATGCTAGATGACTTTCATGAAGTTCTAAGGGTAAAGTGTCCTGCACACAAGGACAAAATAGTTTTATATATATCTATAAACCTCAAAATCTGCACGTTACCATAATGGCTTCATCCGATCATTTCTCCCCCCCGGTTAATAAGTGTTTATTTGAGAAAAATAACAAGTAACTCCCTAAATTATAACATTTTCAGTTTAGAGAATGGTTTAGTGGATATTTTAGGCTATTTAGTAATTTAGTTGATCTGCTATTGTTTGCTTGTTATCAACCTCGGTCTTGAAGAAAACTGCAGACCTATGAATACCTTAATTACTTACACCTGGCTAGTCGTAGCCGCACCTGGGGAGCCTTGCTTGGCGTTTGAGGAGGGGGTGAAGTCGGGATGCTTTCCTTTACGCTAGGTTAAGCTTGACTTTCTATCTTATCCTGGAATATCTGAATTCTGTTTTTTTGGAAATTGGCCTCAGATGAGTTTGGTCCTCCAGTGTTTTCAAAACAGGCTGCATGACCGGAAATTGTGGATGTGAGGAGATGATGATGTAAAGGCTAAACAGCCAATCAGCTAAACCAGTGACAGGCAAATTAGAAGAAAAAAAAATCAACTAACGAAACCGAAATTAAATGATCTTTGTTGAACTTAAACACTTGCCTTAAAATTATAGATATTATTGATAGTAATCTTATTGCTTGTACCATTATTGATTTTTTTTTACTGTTGGTATTTACTTCTTACACCCCAATCCATACTTTCATTATCTTTATTAATGAGTTCAAGTTTTGTTATTATATTCTGTAGATCAGGTATTACCTCTAAAAACCTAAGGTCTGTGCTATTTAAAACAATAAGTACTTTCATTCTTCTAAAAGTTAAAATAAGTGTACCTCTCTTTACTCATAAGGCAAAATCCTCAGATAAATCTGTCAAACTATGGTTTCTCTAAGTCCTGTCTGTATTGATCCAACCATCTGCTTTCTGTCTTTCCAACCTCTCCCGACTCTCATCGCCCTCTAGTACAAGCAAGTGGAGCAGTACATGTCATTCCACAAACTGCCGGCTGACTTCCGACAGAAAATCCATGACTATTATGAGCACAGATACCAAGGCAAGATGTTTGATGAGGAGAGCATCCTGGAGGAGCTTAATGAGCCACTGAGAGAGGTATGAAAACACTCCGATCGTCCATGACTACAACTGTTACACACATTTCTGATTACTGGAGGACACTGGAATTCTCTTATCTGCAACTCTTTAGCATATGTTATATAAGTTATCACATTAAGGGTTGTGTAAGCAATTTTCTGAATCAAACATGCACATAAAAAATAATAAAATTGTCTTTCAGCACACTACATACTAGATATAAAATAAGAGAATGAATATTCATGAATATTCAGTTGAGTTACATAATGTACTGAAATTTTGGTTCTTATGCAGTGTTTATACAGGGCTTTTTAACTAAAATGAATTTACCTTTTGTCAACCAGGAATAACTTGCTTAATTTGATTAAAACTGGCACACAGTTAAATATGTAGTGTTTGCATTAGGAGTTTATCATAGCAGTCCCACATTGTTTAAATGTTTCCCTGTTTCAATAAATCTGATTTGAATTAATTGTCAATTATCTGGCTATAAGTGATCTTAGAGAGAGGCTGGTGAGGTGGGATATTTTAATAATCTCAGTCAATCAGGTCAATTAAAAAATGACCCCTCATCAGCCATAGAAAACTGGGAACTGCTAATTTCTGTGTCTAGTTTAAATTAAACGTTAAAGTCTAAACCTAACTTGAATTAATCTGAACATAAAACACAGACTGGCAAGTGGCAGTGTTGGGCATGTCACTTAAAATGTTTTTTATTGTTAATTCTTCCTTAAAGCCACTGATGTAGCAGCTCAGTAACTTTACAATCAGAGTAACAACGTAGCTATACCGTTAATATTTATAATCCAACATATCAGTTACTTTGTAGGACTTTTCTGTCATATTAACTTTAAATACAACCAGGAGTTAAATTATCTAATATAAAATGTTTAATATTAATTAATAAATGAAAAGGATTGAATATCTAAAAAAAAAATTGGTGTACTCTCTACTTACAGCAGCCAATTAACAAATGCCTCTATTTCTTCACTCCTGTTCCATCTCTGCACTAAAAACAGAAAGCATTCCTCTGCTGCAGCAAAGAGTTTGCTTATTAAGTTATTGTAACCCACCAAGTAATGTACCCTGTTAGATTGCAGGTTTTAAATATCTATAATATAATACAAATGTCGTTACTATGTAATTGACTCTAAGCCGGTCTTTCCTTTTTGTACCTATTAGATGAGGTGGAGCAAAAAAAGATGCAAAACTACGTTACTCCATGTATTGACAAAAGAGAAAACAGTCCACTTCTGCACATTCTCTACCTCTTAATGGAAGGGCTATAAATCTCTAAAATAGTATAATGAAAATCTAAAATAGTTGGAAACAGGGGATTTTTCTGTGTTTGTTTTCATATGTAGCCATTTTTCTTCTTACTGAGTTGAAGGCATGCAGCAATTTGTTTGACTCAGTTTCCATCAAAACAGTATTTTTTTCTGTTTAGTTGAAATGAAAGTCGAAATTCTAATTAAGAATAATAGTACTGTGTATATATTTGAAGGGCAAAGGTCTTTCAAAAAAATGCAAAGTTTAGTTTTATTGACTGGTTGTGTTTTAAAAGAATTAACATGCATGCATGTTGGTATTTCAGTTTCTCTTCTACAGTGTCTGTTCTCACCATTTAGGAAATTGTTAACTTCAATTGCCGTAAACTGGTGGCGTCAATGCCGCTGTTCGCCAACGCCGATCCAAACTTTGTGACAGCCATGTTGACCAAACTGAGATTTGAAGTCTTCCAACCTGGAGACTACATCATCAGAGAAGGCACCATTGGCAAGAAGATGTACTTCATTCAGCACGGTGTGGTGAGCGTTCTGACTAAAGGAAGCATCGGCATGAAGCTGATGGACGGCTCCTACTTTGGTGGTACGTCACTTTCTCACATTTCTATTTCAGTCGTGCTTTTTCTTAACTGTGTCCTTAAAAGGATTTTTTTCCATACTGTGTTAGCAAACATAACAACAACCTGTAAATTGAAAATGCAGTTTTAGAAATCGGGACCTTAGGGGCTGATATCTGGCCACTTAAAGATATATCTTTGGTCCAACACAGCTGAATTACTTCCCCAGCATGCAGTCCAGTTCTCCACAGTCCTTTGAATGACTAAATATTTGATTCATGTGTGTGAAAATAGAGATGTCTACTTCATTTTTCTTCTGCTGATGTTCACCAATTACTGTTTAGTGCTAAATCCAGCTTTGTTAAACTGGAAAAAATTGAAATCTAGATAAGTAATTTTTCTTGAAATAAGTGCTTTTGTTCTTGGATTGAGGAGGCAAAAGAGACATTTTGCCAATGGAACAAGAAAACTTCCACTTAAAATGAGAAAACACAATTGTATTGTCTTATTTCAAGTGCATATTATCTAATAATCTTACTTTAAGAGTAAAAATAATCATTATGTTGGCAAACTATCTGAGTTGCCTACTCAAATTAAGGATAAATACACTTAATTTAGGACATTTTAACTTATTTCTAGATTGTTTTTCCAGTTTACCGTTAAAACCACAGAAGTAACACAAGGTCACATATGTATGAGCTGAATGGTTGCCATTGGTTCCCTGTTCACTATTGTGAAAGTTGCCCCGAGCACTATTACATTAAGTCAAGTGCACAGCATGTTCTTAGGGATGCAGAGACAATGAATAATGGCTGTTTAAGCTTAGAGAGACAGTGTCTATGAATCAACATTTAATGTCTGATGAATGGTGTGTAAGGCTGTGACCGTCAACAAAGAAGCTAATCTCCCCTTGAATTTGAGGGACAACCTGATCTGGTAACGATGTTCTAAGTGCTGTAAAATCATTGAATCTGAGTGAAGCAGCGAGTACAGGGATAATTTAATGTGCTAACACATTCTCTGTGAAGCAGAAGCCACGGTTTATAGTTTTACTGGAAGATTATAGAACCTAAGAATAAATGTTTTGTTTTATTCCAAAATCATTTTAACCGTTGTCAAATTTTGGTTTAAACTAGTGGTGGAGAGCAAGATATCTTTATGCATTACAGGTGATATGACTGTTAAACATTTCTAATATTTCATTGTACATTTCAGTCTCTGATTCTAGTATTTTTCACTGATTTTATGTAGTTTTGTGGGGGGTTTTTTGTGAAGCAAATAATTCTAAAATGTTACATTAGAAGAGTTTTATAAACCTGGTAAAATCCAGAGATAGCCATTCAAAATTTCACCACTTTCCTTGATGGGCCTTTGGCTGCTCCTTGGCTGGTTCCCTACAATTCCTTTTTAACATCAATCTTTGTACTAAAATATTCTTTCTGTCATAATTTGTGGACATTAAGAATTAAACAGTTGCCTAATCTCCTGGTCAGACCCTGTAATTCAGCAAAAGGGTTGAGTCAGGGTAAAAATATATGCACTCCCAGGAGAATGAATGAGCCACTCCAGTGGCTGGAAGTTGGAGGGGATTTTGCTGGGAGTTGCACGGAAGTGGGCGGCCATTCGGCTGGCGTTTGACTAGGAAGGGCCATTTTGAATGGCTCCTACTGTAAATGTCATACAGTAGATTTCGACAGAATTTTGTTGTGGCTTTCTTGGCCTATTTTCCAGTTATAGTTTAAAATAATCTCTGAAGTTTACAAGGATGAATAATAGTGATTTGGCTCAAAAGGAGTCCAGACTTAAATCCAAAAGAGAATCTATGGAGGGAGCTAAAGTTTGGGGAAATGGCAGGGTGGCCTTCCAACTTTTAAACAAAGTGCTCATTGCTAAAAATAAATGGGGAAAAATACACGTGGGGACATGAAAAAATCCAGGAATTACAAGAAGGATTTAATTGATGTCATAAAATTAACAATAATTCAATTAAGAAGTGTATAATTAAGTTTGACTCTCTTTCCTTTTCTTAGCATCCAGTATATTAGTTACTCATTTTGTCTTTTAAGATCACCTAAAGATAATAAATTATTTAGGCTAAATTGCATTTACTGTAAGATTTTTAATGACAGCTATTATTACTGCTGAGTGCTCTCCATAGTGGCAAAGCCCCTGCTAAAAAGAACAATAGGTGTTTATGTATCCTAATAAGATGAGAAGCTTCATCCAGTGACGGTGCAACTTTCTGCCAACTTTTGGCCCTGTAATGAAAAATAGGAAAGCATGGACCCTATGGAAAATAAATGAATGTAAAGTGTGGAAGACATTCTAATGAATATGCATGTCTCTGCTAGAATATACTTTGAAGTCCCAGCATTTCTAAGTAGTCATTGTCATCTATAAGGATGGCACCGCAACTCACCAACCTGTTGTATGAGCAATTTATTCAGCCCTAGTGGTTTCATTAGTGCTATTATCCTTTCACTGCACTACCCACTGGCTGCTAATGATGCTGGCGGTATGCAAATCCATGCTTTATGTGAAACTACAAAAATCCCAGGTGAGTGTTTATGAAGTGATACCTCAGCCAGTTTGTGAACAGTAACTCTCACCAAACGTGGAGCACAGAGACATGTAAACCATATCGCTGAAATATTTTAAGATAACCTAGAGTATGACAAAACTTTTCAATCTATTACTGAAAACGTACTGATGGGGTTTATAGAAAAGCCATTGCTGTTCTGCAGCTACTGTTTCCTTTTTGTGTTGATAGAAACATAGTAGTACCTCTAAAATTATTGTGCCTAAATAAACCAAATAACATACAGTGTTCTGTCAGCATTGTAATCCCTAGATAAAGGCTTCCCAAACTTTTCAACTTCTGACCCACAAAATGTTCTCATCATAGACATAGTGTATTAATTTTTTTACAAAATCAATTAACCATTGATATAGAACTTATTCAATGATCATAAGTAAGTTATACTTTATATATATTTTTAACTCATTTGCAAGTTGCATGTTTAGCACTAAACATAAATCATAATACTACAAACAGGATCAATAACCAATGAATTATTTTGGTAAATTTTCCAGAGATGTTTTTTATATCTTTAGACATTATGATAAAAATGTTATATATTTTATTGTATTGTTTATTTTCTGCAAAATGTTCAATGAGCTATATCAGGGGTTTTCTAAGTACTTGCTACTGGGGCGGCGCAGAATATTAGGGGATAGAGGATTAAAAAAAATATGGAAATAAAAAACATAACCTAATAATTTTTAACTATTATAATATAATACAATGTGATAATCTTTGAAGAATATAACTTTTACTAATATATTCTACCGAGAACACAAACTCAGTGAATTTAAAACTGAACTTTAAGGCTCTTCCCCTAATGATGTAATGAATGGTTTCCCAGTGGCTGATAGGGCACTGATATGCAGCCTGCTTGGCTGGGTTTGACCTTTCAACTTTAAATTTACTCAAAAGAAAATATAGAGCACGCATAATGTTTGACAGTGATGTGCATACGGTACTAGCAGACATAAAGCCCAGCCCTCCACTACACACATTTTTGAGAAAGACACATTATCAAATGAATGTTTTTCTGAGCAGGTTTGGGTTGGAAACTTTTTACAAATTTAAATTTATTATTAATCCTTTACTCGAATAAGGTAAGCTGGTATTTCTATAATTTAATTAGAAGTGCTTACATTTTGCTTGGCATACCTAGACTGTATGTGTAAATTCTCAAAAATAGACTGCCATAAAGAGAAGGATTTAATGTTTAAAAGGTTTTAAATCTTAATTGAAAAAAATTTATTTCACAATAAACCAGCCAAATATTTGACATAGCTTTATGCATCTGGATGCTTTTAAACAAACAGCTTTGCTTGCTTTAAAGAAATGTATCACCCTGGGTGCTACAATCTGCAAAGCTTGGTCAGCCTAGTTGGGCAGCAGCAAATTGATTTGATTTATTCTGCAATAAGTGAATCTAAAATGTAGCTCTCACTGCTGAAGATAGAGGAGCTACATTAAAGCAAAGAAAATTAAATTACTGCTTAGCGGCTTGAGAAAAAAATAGCCATATTTTACTATAGGTGTGTATTTTACTTTCTTAGACAAACAAAAAAGTTTAAAAAATCTAAACGTTTCTATCTTGATGTTTCACAAATCATCAACTTTCATTTAAGATTTTAATGATATTTAAAAAAAAGTTTTATTAGACCTCTTTTTTGATTTGTTAATCCACATTTATTCTCTTTTGCCGATTTTAATGACAAAGTAACTGAATTGATGCAGCTCCTTCTTTACTGTCAGATAAATTTGAAGAAATGTACTTTATTCCAGATTTAAAATAACATTATTTTATTATGAAGCCCCGACAATCATTACTATCCTTTAAACTAGTGAGCATATTTGCTATGTTACAACTCAAAAACAACATTACCATAACATGAATATTAAAATAAATATTCTGTGATGACAAATGTTTGATGATTTTTCTTTTGAATAATTTTGAATAATTTTTTCAATCCATTTTTTATCATTTAACATAATATATCCTGTCAATATTTATTCATACTTTATTGTAGATGGAAAAGCCTTAATTTCCATTATGCAATAAAACTTACCAAGGATAGTAATTCTTTAAACTATGTTAAGTCAGATGCAACTCCAACAGAACTTGAAATGAAAGAAGAAAAAAAATTGGAAAAGATTAAGAGTTCAGCTAATTCTTGCCAAAAGAGATACAGATTATTAGGCAGGGAAGGCAGAGAGCCCAGCAATGAGCAGGATGGACAGGTCACCAGAGCGCAGTGCCAAGGCCAAAACAAGCGCTCATAGGTAGATTCTTTGGTTAAAATTATAAAGGTTTATATCTCAAAAACAGAAGCATCACAAATGACAGTTTGTATGAATCTCCACTAATGACCCACTAAAAAAGTCGACCGCTTTGGTTTAATTTGAAGCTTAATAGGGAGATGGATGACCTGCTGAGTTTTTTCTCATGGATGGGGTGTTAGCTTCACACTTCTGAAATGGACTACTTCTGTTGTCTACTTTAACTAAGGTAACTAATGAAAACATACAATAGGGCCTAGTTGCTTTTATTCCCAACATTAAATCATTGATTGTTTCTCCATATAAACAATCTGAAGTGTTGTTGTAAATGTTTTTGCATGTTATAAATAAACCATTCATTCATTATTTTAAAATAAATAAAATAAACACCCGCTGGCCTGAGCAGATATGGTCTGAGATATCATTCCATTTTTGTCATTTCAATCCTTTTATTCTATAACAAGCTGTTATTTCCTGGTTAATCAGTCAATAAATGAACCATCTAGTCAACCTGTAGTCAAATGTCTTAAAGACAAACGTCTCATAGATTTCTGCTGAAGTTAGAGCATCAGCTTTATACGATGTATAGATGACACTGCTTTAGTTTCAAATGTTTTTTTTTTCATATCAGCTAAAGAAAAGTGTTTTTTTTTTTTTTTTTTTATTGGGGGGACTGGCACTCAATGGGAAGAAGTGTCTCCTGAATGTTGTGGGTTTGTTACCAGGTTCTTCCAACATGTCAATGTGCCCCTGGGCAAGGCACTTTATCACGAGTTACCTAAAAATCTGTTTATCGTAACACAGATTCAATCCAGTTACAATTAATCCATCTATTTGAGCCAGCTTGCAGATAGTTCACAACAACAGATGGGACCAGATGAGATTTCTATCAATCTATGCCCCATACAGCTGCAGAAATTAGCCTCTCACTGAAACAGGTCTGTGTGATTTTAATGGCTGTTTTTCTGTCACCTAGTCATTGCCATCATCTTATTATTCATATATGTTTTTCTAAAATAATTTTATTTCTTAAAACTTTCTCAGACCTCTTATTTTAAGAAAACAAGGATGATGCACATTAAATTAATCTGTTATTTCCTTACAGACAGCCTGTTTAAATGCTCATATGGTTTTTAATAGTTAACAATCCTTTGTTTACAAATTGATGCCAAAATGCTTCATGCAGTCACAGTTTATTCCATTGCGGAACCCTTACATAATTTCTTTACGGAGTATTCTTCTGATGTTACTCTCTTTGTTTTCCACTGAGAGTTTGAGGAGGTCGACCTTTAAAGGCAAGAGAAAAGGAGGGCATGTGGTTGTCAAGACAACAGTCAGCCCCAGCCCTTAAAAAAAGTGAAGCTATGCATTAAAAAAAAAGAAATACTAAAAGAAAGGAAGATGAACAAGTCAAGTAATAAAGTTTAGCTACATATTCTTAAATATAGTGGGTGCCTATTTCTCACACAGCTGTCAGTGCTGCACAAATGTCCATGTTTTTTTAGTTGGTCAAACTTAACTAAGCATAACTCGTTTGCAGAGTCTCTTGCAGAAATAACTGTCATTTTCACATATTTGCTTTCAATTTCCTTTAAAGTGAAGAAGGAAATTAAGGTTGAATTGCAGTGGTTTAATTTTGGAGCCCTTCTCACATCCTTGTCCTAAAATCTGTCAGTTTGCCACTTTCTGGTTTCTAGTCACGCTTCTGGGTTCCTTCTTTTTCCCCTCCAGAGATCTGCCTGCTGACCCGAGGCAGAAGGACAGCCAGTGTGCGAGCAGACACCTACTGCCGCCTGTACTCTCTCTCGGTGGATAACTTCAATGAAGTGCTAGAAGAGTATCCCATGATGAGAAGGGCCTTTGAGACGGTTGCAATTGACAGACTGGACAGGATAGGTAAGGCCATCATTTTGTTCAGTGAACAGAAAGACTGGAAGACTTCACTATTCTTTTTTTCTTATATAACTTAAAGAAGAAAAAAATAATTTGTGTAGAAATGTTTTCAAGGCTACTCCAGAGCTATTTCTTAAACGTAAGTATCTTTCACGTCCTGTCGTCCATGTGGATTTTTTTCCCTAAACTGTATTATAATCGCATCAATAATACATACAAACATTGTTTTCTTAAGTCAACTTATTATAAGCCTTATTTTTAATCTTAAAAACTCACATGAAGAGAAAAGACAATTCGGAGAAATGTTTTGATACAAATACTTTGTCTTTGGCGCTCAGCGTTTAATTTTGATGGATATGCATGAAAAGCAGCAAGGAATAGGGCTGTTTCCCCCCAGGCCTCAAACTGGTGGTGGAGTGGAGATAGATGAAGTTGATC